ATTATTATTATTATTATTATTATTATTATTATTATTATTATTATTATTATTATTATTATTATTATTGTCATTATTATTAATTATTATTATTATTATTGTTATTACTATTAATTATTATTACTATTAATTATTATTACTATTAATTATTATTACTATTGATTATTATTGCTATTAATTATCATTACCATTAATTATTACTACTATTAATTATTATTACCATTAATTATTACTACTATTAATTATTATTACTATTAATTATTATTACTACTAGTTATTACAGTTTTAATTATAATATTACTTGTTAATATTTAATTTTATTCGTTTATTACTATTAACTATTAATTATTATTATTGGCATCGTCTTCATCATTAGTGTTGTTATTACTATTATTATCAATTTCCTGAAATGTCGTTTTAGTTTTTTTAGAATTTCGGTATAGGAATCTTGTTTTTTAATATTTGGAAAGGTTGTTTTAAAAGTTAGATTTTCACCCCTTTTTCGGAATATTCATCCTAACGTCTTCCGGTTATAAATCGAGAAATATTAGTTTATATATCGATGTTTGGGGCGGGATATTTGTCAAAAATGTTATCTGTTTGATAGCAAATAATTTTTATTGACAGAAATTTGATCTGTTCCACTAACGAAAGCTGGTTCCATGTATTATACGGATTAATCATTATATTGATTTATATTTGTTCAGCAAGTTGTTCTTTATTTGCTATTCAACTGTAAGCTATTTATAATTTTTGATGTGTCTAATTGAATGGAAAATTCGGAAAATGTTAGTTTTCCGTTTTTAGCATAACGAACGATTTTTTAACACATTAATGGGGAAAAAGAAAGGTATAATATGAAATGTAGCAATGAAGCGAAATGATTAGTAATCATGGATGGGAACTACTAATCCTGAATAGTTGTTAGAACTGTTGGTTGTTTGCAAAAAGAATGCTGTAAATTATTCCTGACCGGAAATTTTAATTGACATTTGATTTTTTTTTTTTGTAACGATAATTTGCTTATGGATAATAATTGTGAACCCTGAGGTAAGTATCATTCATAACGATCATTTATGAGTATGCAACAGTCATTCGTCTATTATTCCAGTTATTATTCATCGTATTTCCGGTTAATGTGCCCATTCACAAGTACCTTCATGCAAATTCGTATCGTATTGATTCTTACATTTGGCAAATAATAATTTAATATGTAATAGTAATGCTATTTTCGATACCATGCAATGACATTTAATTTCTATTATTTAATTGATTTTTCTTTTCATCTATCAATTAGTATGATTGAAATTGTCGCAAAAAAAAAAAAAAAAAGAAAATTATCACAAACATACATACATAAGCATGCATGCTAAATAATTGCATTTGTGTCAAAAAAGTTTTTTTTTTTGAATTAGACAAGCGGTCGTTTTCTTTTTTTTGCAAATTTTTTATCCTTTTCTTCATGTTATTATCTGTTATAGCATTAGACGAATGATATAATTAACATAGTATATATGCCTGTACTACTACTGTATGTATAATTATAATTAAGATAAGAGATATAAAAATTTAATGGCTTATGGATTTTAATTTATCCCAAAGGGTTAAACTGTGTTATTTATTTGTAATTTATTTGATTAATTAATGTTAATTAGGTTTGTTACATGGCTTACATTATATATGTTATATATGTTGGCTATGTTTGCGTTATTATTATGTCGTGCTGTTACGAAACAAACTAAAAGAAGTCTAAGTATGTGATTATATTTCTTTTTCTTTTTTTAAGGTTTCAAGCGTATAAGTGCCGTGGTGTATTTCCCTCGCATTTTACCTGTGATACTTGATTATTTTTATCCTGCCAGTGTATTATTCTTGCTGTGGTTTAATCGTAAAAAACAAAATGAATAGTGCACCATCTTTTATGAGTTCTCAGGGTACAAGTGGTTCATGCGCAGGTAAATTTTTTTAATTTTTAAAATAAATATTTTTCAAGACAAAATGCAAAACAATTTTTTTCTATTTCCATCACTGGCAAGATTGGTGACATTAGCTAGTAGATGCTACAATTGCAACATAAACAAATTTTTGTAATAGGAAATTTTGCTATGCTAATTTAATATTACTTATATTTCTCCTCTTATTTACGTAGAATATTTGTTTCAGGTGCTATCCGGGCGTTAACATTGGAACTAAAAGGTTTGCAGACATCACCTGTTGAAGGTTTTACGGTGACAGCCAATGAGGACAATATGTTTGTGTGGACTGTCGCTTTGTATGGCCCACCTGGAACGTTGTATCAGGTATACAATTTTAATGTTAATTGCTAATGAGAAAAGACCAAATCTAAAGATCAATAAATTTTTGAAAATTTTTTGTAACATTCAACAAATTGGTATTTGGTTGAATGAAATGAAAATGAAATTGCAGACTGAGTTTGCACTTTTTAATTCATTATAAAAATTATTTGTTTACGGCGCTCAAAATAAACGAATTGTCACGCTGTGTTTACCATAAATGCAAGTAACGGTCTATTTTTTAATTACAGTTCTCTTCCGATATGCTTATTTTTAATAAATAAAATTTTGTTTGAGTCACTAATTTTTATTAGAATTATCATTAGAACTGTTAGTTTATATCATCAGTCTAATCTCTCCTGCTTTATAGTTTGTAGTTGTAAAATACTATCAAATTTTCTTAGCACAAAGTTGGAGTATTTTCACCGGATGCGTGTGTGTTATGTTTGTTAGAAATTTTGAAAAAATAATTCTTGACGTCGTCAGATGGATTAAACCGCTATTTCCGGAGAATTGTTTGTTATTCTTGATCTACTGTTGTCGTCAATAAAAATCTTTGTTCAAAATGTTGGGAAGAGTGTCTTCTTGCGCAGCTGTCATGAAACTTGAATATCTCACTTATTCCTAATTTATATGAATTGATTTAATTCGGTAATAACTGATTGACTTCGTTCCAGGGAGGCTATTTCAAAGCAGTTTTGAAATTCCCGTCCAATTATCCATATGCTCCTCCATCGATCAAATTCCTCAACAAAGTTTGGCACCCAAATGTTTATGAGGTATGAAATGTAGAATTGATATAAGAAGTATGAGATGCTTTAAAAGTTCTTTCGAAGAAAAATTTAAGATTTCGGGACTACAGTTTCATTTTCAGAACGGGGATCTCTGTATCAGTATTTTGCATCCACCCGTTGATGATCCTCATAGTGGTGAACTTGCTTGCGAACGTTGGAATCCAACGCAAAATGTTAGGTAAAGAATGCAAAGATTTTTGAAATAACTTCATACATATCATGACTTCTGCATCATTTCTCATGTTTTATGCATTATTTAAACGATTCTGACCTTTCATATAATAGTTTTCTTTTGGATGTCTTATCATATGTGGATAATATTTTTGGCTGAGTTGGAATACATATTATATTGAAGCATATTAGAAGTTTCAAATGTGATAAGTCATTATATGAATTCATTGTGTTAAATTTTTTTGAAATTTTTCAAAAAATGATGCATCGACACCGACACTTCTAATATATTTTCGAAAAAAAAAGGGAACGGGAACAAAAAGAAAATAAGCAAATTCAGCATCATTTTAGGACAATTTTACTTTCGGTAATATCATTGTTAAATGAACCAAATACTTCTTCGCCGGCGAATGTGGATGCATCAGTTATGTACAGAAAATGGAAAGAATCGGGTGGCAAGAATGACGAGTATGCACGTCTCGTAAGGTAAGTTTATGAACTTTATTAGGTATTTATTATGTAGCGCTAGAGCTCCCGAAATTTGCCATATTCTTAATAACTGTGGAGAATTCTCCAGAAATTTTCGAAATAGATATGATGGATGTTGAAAGTTACACAATAGCTATGCATTTTGACTTTATTCTAATATTGTTGATATCGAATGGAAAAGGAATATGGATATGTGAAAGACATTTTAAAGTTTGAATGATTATAGATTATGACTTCTTGTTACAGTTATTTCTGTGAAGTAAGAGAATATCGAAATTCTATCTCGAATCATTTCTCCATCTATTAGAAATATCACGACACCAACTGGATTGCAAATGACAAATAAATAATCTGAACGTGCACTTTTAGAATAACATATCTGAATTTGTGTAACAATTTTTCCCAAGTAACTTGATTTATTTGTTATTCAGGAAGCAAGTCGAAGCATCTCGTCTTGATGCCGAAAAAGATGGTGTGGTTGTACCGGAAACGTTAGAAGAATATTGCATTAAAACAGCGCCTAAACCAAGTGACGATTGTACAGATGCCTTCGATCTCGATGAAGACTATTATGATTACGGTGATGAAAGCGGTATGTGGAATATTTGATGAACTTTTCTAATTATTATTATTGTTGTTGTCACATTGAATAGTTTTCTGTTAGATGTACTATCTACTTATAAGACAAACTTTATTTATAATAATTGATACCATTCCTGAAAGAAACTGATGGAATGGCGAAGATTACTAAATTATTCTGGTTAATGTTCGCCTTCTCGAGATCAAATCGCTTAATCATTGCTAGCTAACATTTAGCAATATTTTGTGTATGTGTGCTTCTCAGTCATTTTTTCAGTTAGTCATTTGTTCATCTTGATGAATTTGTCGAAAAAGTGTATTGAAATAATTTCATTCTTATTTTCAGATGATGAAGAAGAATATGAAGAAAATGCTGAGGACAGTGGACAAGGCGAGAATTGATAGTAGAATTTGAATTAAGTTGATCTGAATTATGAAAATGGGAATTTTTAAGAAAAATTTTCAAAACACCTCACCGCCGCTCAAAATTTATCTTTTGCGAAGCAGAGTACTGTTTTTTTTTATCTCTTTTCTCTCCTGTCCTCTTTCGTTTGTTTATTCATCTCTTTCCTGATTTGATTCGTTTGTTTGTTTGTTTGTTTTTTGATCTGTCAGAGAAAAGGAGGTGATAACATCCGCGGAAATCCTATATTGTCGTCATTTTATATAACGTTTTTTCTTTTTCCCTGAAAATTAAAAGTTCAAAAAAGAAGTAAGAAGAATTATTAACCATTTCTACTTCTCCTATATAAGCCTGGAAAATTTCTTGTTTTATTTCATCAAATTTCAAAAATTCCGGCGAATTTTTTCAATGCGACAAAAAATTTCGAACAAAACTTGAGCGGTTTAAAAATTAGTAATGGATTTAAAATTACGGCTTATCTTATTTTTTTGAAGAAAAGGAAAAGGAACTTCAGAAAATTGCTTGCTTGTAATATTTGAGAAAATGCAAAGTTTCTGCATCAATTTTTGAATCAATTTTCAGTAAATTCAAATTTCAAATTTCGAAATCGGTTATTTGTAGATTTGCTGGAAATTGTCCGGAATTATTTGCCGCTTAGCATCGCAACTGTTCCTCTCTCTTTCTTTTTTTTTTGGGAGAATGACTAAGAAGTTTCAAATTTCTTTCATCTTTCTCTAATCTTCACCTTCAATTTTTTCTTTTTATTTTACCTAACCGGAACTTCTCTTCCTCTCTGATCATGTCAGATAATTTCTTCATTGAAAAGAGATAATTTTGTTGGATGAATTCTTTCCTTTTTTTTTTTTTTATCGTCCAACGCTTTATCGATTCATTTGATCTTCTATTAGTAAACTAATCATTTATTATATCATTTTAACCTTTTGACCATTAATTAGAATTAAGATACAATTAATTACAATTCATGCGTAATTTGATCTAACAAATCGGTAAATGTGCTCATCTTTTGTGGCGGTAAATGTTAATTGAAAAAAAAAAAAAAAGGTAGGGGAAAAGAAGAAGCAAACATTGTTAAATGTTAGCAAAAGTTAAACTACAAAAATTATTATATATGATATACTGTGATGTGATTGTAATGTGATTCAATCAAATATTTGCATAACATATTTTGTATGAAACTAATTTCATTTGTAGAAAAAAATGTGAAGTTTAAATTTCATTTCAGGTTTTTCTTCTTTTTTGCCTTTTTCCTCATTTTCGGTTGCGCATTCTTTCTTCTCTTGAAATATTACGTTAAATATTAATTTTTGATTTGGTATAAAAGAAAAAAAAAGTGAATGAATTTCAAATTCGTATGTATGGGTGTGTGTGTGTGTATGTGTATGTGTATGTGTGTGTGTATGTGTGTGTGTATGTGT